TACTTTACTATAGATATCATCATATTCTAAGTTTATCAACAAATACCTTATACATTAAGGGTCACTTTCTCATTGCAAACAACATATAATTAGAAAAGCCAAGAAACAAATCTTTTCAAAAATATTTAGGCATGTACATGTGGTATATGTACATCAATTAATGAAAATCATGTGTACAAATAAAAATATTTATTTTAAACATTGGACAGCTAATTAAAATTAAAAAAATGAAAAAGTACAACTTGCCAAAACGAGTACAACCTGTAACTTTGGTACAACTAGTGCATTTTGGCGGCTATACATGTGTCTTTTGGCGGCTACACGTGTCTAATGTGGATCACGTGTTTGTTGTGTTTGGTCCTTTTTTTTTTTTATTAATTTTATTCTTCCGATTTTTAAAAAAATTCAATTTTCAAATTGAAATAGAAATAGGGAATTGGGAATCGGGTATATCTAGGGTTTATTGTCTCTCCTCTCTCTCGACTCTTCACTTCTTCTCCTTCTTCCTTTCTGGTTTTCGATTTCGTCTTTTTATTTTGGCTTAGCGGATTCTGAGAATGAGTTGCGAATCTGGAGCATCGGGAATCATATGTGGTAATTCTTCCAACCGACGAAGGTTCCCTGGAATTCCCAAAAAGTGTCATTGTGGGTCACCAATAGTTGACATAATCTCTCGATCCATACCAAATCCGTGTCGTCGCTACTACCGGTGTGAATATGCATATGATAGAAGGGTAAATCTGTTTTATCACTATTGTATTTGCGATTTAGTTACCAACTTTTCCTTCTAATTTTTTTTTTTGTAGCTTGTGAATGATGGACATGTCTTTAAGTGGGTTGATGAAGCACTTGTGGATGAGGTAGAACAATTGGATTTTCAAGTTGGTGTTTTAGAGGAAGAAGTTACTCTTATGAAAATGGAAAGGATGAAAGATATGAAGGAAATTAAGAAAATGAGTGTACTCGTTTTCTGTGGTTGTCTTCTTCTGATAGGGCTAGGAATATGGTATAATCAAGTGTAACTTGTTCTTCGTAGTACAACTAAGTATAACTTGTTCTTCGTAGTTGGACAACTAAGTATAAAACTACTTGGTTTAGCTTTGTTGGTAACTTAGAACTTACTTTGTGTATTCGGGTTGTAATTTTTGGTTGTAAAACTAGTATTTTGTAATCGTACAACTACTATGTAGTTTTACCAAGTTGATCTTTTGAATGCAGTTGTATAATGGGAACTCAGAAACTTAACAAAGAACATATAACTTACTAGAATAGTTCAAAACACATCCAAAAAGACATCAATCCATAAACCAATACAAAGAGTTCAAATATAAAATGACTCTAAAACCCAACTTTAGAATAGATCATCAATTATCCTTCTTCGCATTTTGTCTTGTCTGAATAGGACTCCTTATGACCACAGTCCCTCCCTTCTTCTTGCTTATGATCTTCACCCTTTTACCTTAGTGAGCATGAACAACTTCTTCTCTTTCCCTCTTTTCTCCTTTATCCTTAGCTTGTTCTTTCTCGCCATGTTCCATCTCAACATCTTCTTCTCGGCCTTTTTCCGTTGTCCCTAGTTGTTCTTTCTCTTCTTCAACTGTAC